ATCTGGGGAGCCTCCTGGGCCGTCTCTGGGCTTTCTTGGGGGCCCGTTCGGCCGTCTTGGAGCGATCTGAAGGGCCTCTGACGCGGTCCGGGACCGTGGGGAGGCGGAACATGGGAGAGGGCAAGAATGCTTCAAACACCATTGGAAAATCTTGGATTTTCGGCTTCTGGGGCCCTTTGGAGGGGCCTCTGGAGGCGCTCTTGGAGTGTTTTGGCGGCGTCGTCGGCCGTCCTGAGGCCATCTTCGGCCTCTGGGGACTGTCTTTGGGCGTCCTGAGTCCTGGGGACCCGGAAATCATGTTCCTGGAGAGGCTTCCGGGAACATGATTTCGAACCAGGCTCTCTTGGGCCTCCCTGAGGCCGTCTTGGGGGCCTCCTGGGCTGGCTTTGGGGCCTCTTGGGCCGTCTTGGGGGGTTCTGTGAGCCCCACAGGATGACCCTTTTGGGCCGTCTTCGGCCCTCTTGGGTCTCTCTTGTGTGTCTTGGGGCTCCTGGGGGGCTTCTGGGGCACTGCGAAGACGAAGCAAGGGAGTATGCTCAAAATGCATGTTTTACTCAGGGAACGGGCTGATTTCTGCCTCTTGAACACCCTCTTGGGGCCCTCTTCGGCCATCTTCAAGCCATCTCGGGCCCTCTGGGGCCTCGCTGAGGCTGTCTTGGAGCCCTCTTGGGGGCCCTGGGAACCCGGAATATCATGTTCCCGGCGAAGTTTCCGGGAACATGATTTCGAACGAGGCCCTCTTGGGCCTCCCTGAGGCCGTCTTGGAGGCCTCCTGGGCCGGCTTCGGGGCCTCTTGGGCCGTCTTGGGGGGTTCCGTGAGCCCCACAGGACGACCCTTTCGGGCCGTTTTGGGCCCTCTTGGGTCTCTCTTGGGCCGTCTTGGGGCTCCTCGGGGGCGTCTGGGGAACTGTGCAGACGAAGCAAGCGAGCATTCTGGAAATGTACGTTTTTACTAAGGGAAGGGGCTCATTTTTGCCTCTTGAAAGCCCTCTTGGGGCCCCCTTCGGTCATCTTCAAGCCATCTCGGGCCCTCTGGGGCCTCGCTGAGGCTGTCTTGTGGGCCTCTTGGGCGTCCTCGGAACCGGGAAATCATGTTCCCGGAGAAGCTTCCGGGAACATGATTTCGAAGGAGGCCCTCTTGGGCCTCCCTGAGGCCGTCTTGGGGGCCTCCTGGGCCGGCTTCGGGGCCTCTTGGGCCGTCTCGGGGGGTTCCGTGAGCCCCACAAGACGACCCTTTTGGCTCGTTTTGGGCCCTCCTGGGTTTCTCTTGGGCTGTATTGGGGCTCTGCGGGGGCGTCTGGGGCACTGTGAAGACGAAGCCAGCAGCCAGCGAGTATGCTGAAAATGCACGTTTTACAAAGGGAAGGAGCCGATGTTTGCCTCTTGAAGGCCCTCTTGGGGCCCTCGTCGGCCATCTTCAAGCCATCTCGGGCCCTCCTGGGTCGCTCTTGGGCGTCTTCGGGGCATCTTGAGGCTTTCTTGACCATCTGTACGGCCCGCGTGGCCTATCGTGGGCAATTCGGAAGCGGCCCGGGGTACTCCCGGGGGGTCTGTGACTGCCCAAACGTTTTGGGGGGCGCCAGTGGGAGATGACGGCACCGGCCCGCCCCCCCGATACATATATATATATATATATAGACAGACATATATATACATATATATATATATATATATATATATATATATATATATAGTCATACGCGCATACATACACATATAAACATGTATGTATACAAACAGGTAGAGAGAGAGAGGGAGAGAGAAACAAACAAACAGAGAGCGATAGAGGGAGAGAGACAGAGAAGGAGAAATAGAGAGAGAGAGAGAGAAAGAGACAGACAGACAGACAGGGAGAGAGAGAGAGAGAGAGAGAAAAAAAAAAGAGAGAGAGAGATATAGAGAGAGAGAGAAAGAGAGAGACACGGAGACACACACACACACACGAAGACAACAAAACGGTCCCCTCCATTTTGGCACTCCGCCTCGTGAGCCAAGTGAGCCGAAGGCGGAAGCACACCTCGCTGCCCAGACCCTGTACATCTTGCGCTACGCCTGCGCTTGGCGTACTTTTCGGCAACCTCGGCGAAGCGCCTGACTGCCTCTCGCACAATTTACTGTTCCTCTTGTGTTTCTCCACTGGCGTCGCGATGCCATTGGCGCAACTCTTCCTTGTCGTCCGTGCCCACGCTGTCTTGCGTGGCCGGCGCCTTGGCTTTGCCGTCTCCCCTCTAGACGCTGCCTTCGCGGACGGCGGCCTGTCGGGTGGCTTGTTCTGCTTCGCCTCCGTTCGAGCCTCAGCAGCAACGTCGGCCCCCACTCGCGCCTGCAACTTCCTGAGCGCGTCGAAGCAGCCCGCGACGTTTGCGGCGAGGGTGTCGTCCGCTTCCGCCGGCTTGAGCAGCTCCCCGAGCTTGTCGATAGGCATGTCCAGCGCGGGCACCATGGCCTTCAGCGAGACCGTGCCAGCGGCTGGCTGTGGCACCTGAGCCGCCGCCTGCCACAGCTGCTGCTCCAGCGCCGGGATGTCTGCCTCCAGCTGCGGGGTGCCCTTGTGTCCATTGGCAAACCGATCCTCGATCTCGACCTTCCTTCTGCGCCAGGTTCGCCAGCTTCCCTTCGTGGGGGAGGCGCTGCTAGGCCAAGCCGTCGATCCGCGACGTGAAATGGTGTTCCTGCGCCGATTGCGTCTCGTGGGCCGCTGGCTGCTGATTAGACGAGGTTCTGCTTGAGCGTCACCACGGTTGCCTCGCTGCAGGTGTCTACCTCTTTGAAGGTGCTTGAGACCTCCTCGAGCCGAGCGTGTTCATTGTCCGCTGGGGCAAGTTGAGCTTGAGGATTGGGCTTCCCATCCTGGGAGCTGTCAGCATGCTTTCGGAACTGTTCCGGAAGCTTGGCGGTATCCTGATCCTTGGCGCGGAACAGGGCGTCCTACTTGTTGCTGTCAGCTTCAGAGCGAGCCTGAGCTGCTTCTGCCGCAGCCGAGCGCGCACTCGGCGCATCCCGCAGCGGCTTGTTCCCTCCGAAGGCGATTCCCCTGGCTGGGTTGCAAGATGTGCAAGTCGTGCAGTCGCCTCTGTTCTACCACTTCTTCCCCGTCCGTGGGCGCATACACCAGCGGCCCAACCATGTTTGGGCCCAAGCCCGACGTTGTTCCGCACTTGATGATGGCGGTGGTGCGCGAAAACCGTTGACCATGGACAAAAGTTGCAAGAGTGAAGGCACGGCTCTAGATAAAGCAGCAGGAACAAGTGGGCCGCCAGGGAGCCCGTGCGGCCCTGGCCGATGAGGAGGTTGCAGAGCTGTCTGCGCAGAGAGGCACTGCAAACTGGCCGCGGGCGAGCGGTCGGCATCCACTTGTTTCGCAGGGATGCGGAAAAACGTCGAACCACAACGGTTTGATCCAAAATGCTGATGGTGAAGTCGGGCCTGTCTCTCTACAGGGGAATGTTCAAACATAGCCCCAAAATAGCCTGGGGACGATTCTATGACAATGTTTGGATATGTTTGGAATAAGTTTGGGGTGTTTCTGAATTGTCGCCCACCTAAGCCTATCTGGACCTGCCTATATGGACCGAAGAGGAGGAGGAGGAGGAGGAGGAGGAGGAGGAGGAGGAGGAGGAGGGAGGAGGAGGAGGAGGAGGAGGAGGAGGAGGAGGAGGAGGAGGAGGAGGAGGAGGAGGAGGAGGAGGAGGAGGAGCAGGAGCGAGCGTCGGGCCGCGGGTTTCCGCGCGGCCCCCGCGCCCGCACGCCGCGCGCCCCTGCACGGCGGCGGGCCCAGCCAGAAGTGCCCGTCCCCCCTGGCCGTGCACGCGACGTCGCGGCCGTCGCCCACGGCTCTCTGCGGGTCGCCGGGCTCGCAGGCGCCGACGGACACCGCCGTGCGCAGGAAGGGGGGGGGCAGGCGGCGCCCGAGGGCTATGCTGAAGTCGGGCCTGTCCCTTTACAGGAAGAACATTCAAATAAAGTCAAAACATATTCCGGGGACGATTGTTTGTTTACTTGTTGATACTGTTCTTTGGTTAAAAAGTCGTCCAAAATCCGCGCAGGGGGACATGCCCGACCTAACGCTATGCGCACAGGCCCCTGCCGCCCAGCCCCGCGCCCCCTCGTGCGAGCTGCCCCGAGCCCCGGGCCGCCGCCGCCGGCGCGCTCGCCCGCCTCGCCGAGGAGGGCGCTTGGCCGCTCGACCACGTGGCGGGGCTCCACGACGTCGTGCGTGAGGCTCCCCCGCACGCGCAGGGCAGGCCGTGGCGCTCCATCAGGTGGAAGGCGTCTCGGCGGAGCCTGCCTGGGGTTGAGCCTGCCTGGCGTCCTTGCCCACGCACCCCTGGCCCGAGCCCTTGTCCTTGCCACAACCGCGGCCTGTGCCGCCCGCCAGGCGTCCGCGCCATACCACAACGGCAGGTCGTTCGCCCAGCCATCAGGCGACATCGGGCCAGGAACCGCGACGCCAACCATCGCCACGCCCCCGTCCGGTTCGACGTCGACCATCGGCTCGTCCGAAATGCCGTCCTCCGCGCGCACGCCAAGGCCCGCCGCGCCGCCGCGCCCGCGAGGACGCCGCCGCCGTCGCCGAGGGGCAGCACCGGGTGCCTCGTGCGCCTGCGCGGCCGAGGGGGGCTCGGGCGGCGCTGCGCGAAGGCCGCCAGCGCAGCTCGCAGCAGGCCCTCGGCGGCCCGCGACAGGCGCTGCGCCCCGCGGCTGCTGCCCGACAGCCCAGCAGCGGCGTGCGTCGCGAGGGCCGGGCCGCGCACGGCCTCGCGCGAAGCCTTCGCGCAGCGGGCATCCATCTCCACGGTACCGGGCATAGGGCGACGGCGGGAGCGCGAGCACCCAGCGGCGGCGGCTTAAGCCAAATGGTACTGGAAGAGGAGGAAGAGGAGGAGGAGGAGGAGGAGGAGGAGGAGGAGGAGGAGGAAGAGGAGAAGGAGGAGGAGGAGGAAGAGGAGGAGGAGGAGGAGGAGGAGGAGGAGGAGGGCTGGCCCCGACCCCCGCGGCACCTCGCGGCGAGCGGCGGCGCAGGACAGCGCGCCGATCTCCGGGCTGTCGCCTGGCGGGCCCTTCGGCGAGGGGGGACGCATCGGTGGCGCTGCTTCCTGCTGCTGCCGGTGGGCTCGTCGAACGACGAAGTCTCAGACCGAGGCCTCGCTGACGGCGATGTTGGTTCACGGCGATGTTGGGAATCTGGTTTTGGGGACGCCGAGCTCGCGCAGAACAGTTGGCAGGAGCACGCGAACAGACGCTTCCTACAATCGGGTCGGTCGCAAACCATCCACACGCCCACAATACCCAAACCAACCTACACTACCTACATCGCCGTTGGCGTGCCTGTGGTCAGCAGGCGGGTCCAGGCTCTGACATCTGCCCTCACAAAGCGTACCCCGACGAGCGAGGCCGCTCGGTACTAGACGCGCCCAGGGAAGGAATCGAGCGAGGCCGGGGTGCGGAGTTCGACAAGCGGCCGCAGCCGGGCGAACCCCATCGGGGGGTGTCCGATACCCCAAGGTGGAGTGGACCCGGATGTTGGGCCGGTTCTGGAGACCGATTTTTTTTCGGAATAGGCGACGCCCCGGGTTATCCGGGAGGTGGGGGGGGAAGGGGGGGCCAGCCGATAATCCAACTTCCCCTTCCACCCCGTCGACCTGCACAGCCGGCAAGATTAGGTTACACGGGGGGGGCAAGGGGGGAGGGGGGCAAGCCCGATCACACGGGTGATCGCCGGACACTAAACAGCACAATCTTATGGAAACCCTCAGACCAAACATGCTGCCATCTCCTGGGGGCGCATGTTTTTTCTTCCGCTGCCCCCCGCCGCGCGTCCGCCGGCGGGACCGCCCTCGCTTGAACTATTTCCGCCACCTTCGGCCGAGGAACGTGGTGGGCTTTGGTGGGCACCAATGCTGAACTCAGTGGGCGTCGCCGAAGAATGGCGCCAGCACCAATCGAGGATCGTGGTTCGAGGGTCAAGAATCGAGGTTTTCGAGGATCGAGGACAGTCAGTTTTTTTGAGGATCGAGAGTCGAGGGTCGAGGATCGAGTGTAGAGGATCGAGGTTCACCCCTCTCTGCTACGGCGAGGGCATCGGATGAAGAACCCTTGGATAACGAACCCAGAGTTTGGAAGCCGGCCATGGATACTACACCGCCCTAAACAGACACACAATCCACCAGGACATAAGCCTCCCCGGCACATTCGTGAACCCATGCGCCATCCCTGGTCTGGCCAACCCAAGCTTCCAAGGCACTGAGCAGAGATATCCGAAGACGTACCAGGGAACGTGCTGCTGAGGCCCAGCTTGCCAGCAACGTTGGTGCAGGCGTGCGCGCTGACGCGTAAAACCCATCGTCGAAAACGCACGCTCTTCAAAAGACACGCGCCAACGTCAACGCGGGAGCCGTCAACACCTGCGCCATCCTCGCTCTGCACGGTTTCCCCCGGGGCAATAGGCGACCTGAGGAGGAGGAGGCGGAGGAGGAGGAGGAGGCGGAGGAGGCGGAGGAGGAGGAGGAGGAGGAGGAGGAGGAGGAGGAGGAGGAGGCGGAGGGGAGGAGGAGGAGGAGGAGCAGGAGCGGAGTAGGAGTAGGAGGATGAGGAGGATGAGGAGGAGGAGGAGGAGGGGAGGAGGGGAAGGATGATGATGATGATGATGATGATGATGAGGAGGAGGAGGAGGAGGAGGAGGAGGAGGAGGAGGAGGAGGAGGAGGAGGAGGAGGAGGAGGACGGGTCGCCTAAGCGCTTCGGAGAAACCCTCCACCTCGCTCTGGCACGCCTCTACTGTTACCAGCACGCCCCAGACAACCTGCAGGAGTATTGTGCTTGCGAGTCGCTTGACATCTCATGTGCTGCGCCATCGCCATTGGAGCTGGTCTGCGCGAGAGGGGGAGCGGAACGGGGGCACCAGGTCAAACAACAACCTGGTACCCCGGCCATTCACTACCGTGGTCTGAAATCGTGACCTGGACGAAGGGGGGGGGAGCGAAGAGGCACCTGCGCAGGCCGAGAGATCCTCCTCTTGCGCCCAACAGGTCGGAAGCGACGTGCCGCTCAGGTGAGCGGACACGTGCAGCGCGCTCGTGCCTTTTCCCCCCTCCTTCCTGGCTCCGTACCAGGAAGACCACCCCTGCCCGGGGAGGTAAGCCTGCTACTCGCCATCGCTTGGACGTCCATTCCCTGTGTTTTTTGTTCGGTTTCGTGCATGTTTTTTTCGCCAAATGATCGAGGACGCTCCTCGATGGTCCTCGCCGAAGGAAAAATGCACACGTCCGAGCGATGCCAAGGTCCTAGGAAGACCACTCCTGCCCGGGGAGGTAAGCCTGCTATGCCGAGGGGTCGGGATCACCTGGTGGGGGCATGCGGTCCAGCGGCTCCCAGAAAGTCGTGTACGGGTACCCCTGGGCGCAGGCGCAGGGGAAGCAGACGGGGAGAAGGGCGATGCGCAGCAAGAGGGACAGGACTGGTATGATGAGGCGACGAGACCAGACGAAGCGAAGGGGAGGCATAATAGGCGGCGCGCCCGGGGGGGAAGTGAGAAGCGGGCGGGCCTTCGCAGAAGTCTGACAAGTCCCCTGGCCCTCCGAGAAGTTTTCCAAGCCTTCCCCGAGGACGGGAAACACCTCTGAGAAAGCGCGGGGGCTTCTAAGAAGAAATCCCGCCGCTTTCTGAGGAGGCCTTCTCCTTCTCACTTCCCCCCCGCTCTCGCCGCCGATACGAACAGCACAGCGAGAGAAGAAACTAACCCGCACGTCGTGCTGCGACACTGAACTTAGATCGGGCATGTTCCCCTACAGATGTTGGACGAAGAATCAAACATAGCTAAAACATACTCCAACAATGATCGAAACTAGTCAAAAACATAGTCCCCATTTTTTGTATTACTATTTTTGGAATATTCCTCCTGTGCAGTCGGGGCGTGGACCTAAATAACCCTAAATGAAATGAACGGGGCCCCTTTTTCCATAAGTTCAACTTTGATTTCCCATCGAAAACCTGAGGAAAACCTCAGGCAAGCTGTGAAGCAATCAGGGAACCCCGAGCCCTTCCCCGACGAGAAGGGTTCCTTCTTCACCGCCCCGACTGCAGAGGGACAGGCCCGACTCCACACCACACTGCTGGGCCGCGCCGATGGCTCGACTTCGGGCAGGGCCCGGGCTGCAGAGCCGGGGCGCCTCGCCCGTGCCGCCCTCGCGGGGCGCCCCTCCTCCTGGAAGGGCCCGCCAGGGGGCGCAGATCGGACCGGGCGAAAGGGGGGATAGCAAAGGGGGGGTTTGAGAATCAGCTCACGTCCCGGCGCCGGGAGGCGCCCATGTCTCGAGGAATGGGCCCGGCGGCGGAGCCGAAACCAGCTGCATGCAGCAGATTTCGTAACCGCCCCTTTCCCTAACCCCCCCTTTCGTTCGGCCCGAGCAGGTGGGGCGATCCGTGTGGAAGCCGGGCAGGAAACTTGGAATGGGGCCCAGGGGAAACACAATGAAAGACACGCCAATGCCAAGAGTCCCTACATCTTTTGAGATCTTTTCTGGATGTTCGTCTTCCCCCCCACGTCCCACATGTTTCCCATATCCTCCCTCCTGGGTTTCCCACATTTCCCCTACATTTTTACACATTTTATTCCCACACTTTTCCTACATTTTTCCCACATGTAGATTTTCCCACATGTTTCCTACATTTTCCTGGGAGTCGAGCACAGGCAGCACAGGCGGGGCGCTCCGGCTCTGCGGCCCAGGCTCTGCCGGAAGTGGAGGACCCGCGGCGCGACCCGGCAGTCCGGTGTGTCGCACAGTGGCGTGCGGCTTGGCCTCGCTGTGCTTCTCGTGTCGGCGGCGAGCGCGGTGGGAGGTGGAACGCGAGGAGGAGGCCTCCCCAGGAGGCGGCGGGACTTCTCCTCAGGAGCCCCCGCGCTTTCTCAGAGGTGCTTCCCGTCCTCGGGGGATGCTTGGGAAACTTCTCGGAGGGCCAGGGAACGCGAGGAGGGGGAGGCCTCCCCAGGCCAGGAGGCGGCGGGGCCTCTCAGAAGGCCTCGGGCCTGCTGGGAGTTGTGTTGTTGTTTGTCTTCGGGGGAGGCTTCGAAGACTTCTCGGAAGGCCGGAGGTCTTGGACCTCCGAGCCTTCTCAGAGGGCCCGCCCCCTTCTCACTTCTCCCCCCCTCGTTCTGAGTATCGCTTTATCGATCCCCATGCCCAGCGGCGTGGCCTGGGCCCCACTGGCCGATTTACCCCCCCCTAGATGGGGATATAGGTCGCTCCCTTCGGGTCTCGAGGGGTGTACCCCCAACTGGGGTGGTAATTTGCTGGGGGTCTCGAAGGGGATGCGGATGGGGATGGGGATGGGGATTGTTTGAGCGATACCGATCTTTTTTTCTTCCCCCCCTCGCTCGCCGCCCAATTAAATTGGGCAGGAACCTGCAACGGACAGGAACTGTTGCCGCGCGTGCCGCGGCGGCACGCCGCGGCGGCGCGCCGCGCCCTGCGAGCGCGCAGCGGGTCGGCCCCCGATCCGCCGGGCAGGAGGCTGCGGAAAGCTCGGGGCGTTAGAGTCAACCAGTCTAGTAAGAATGCGCGATAAGGATGCAAGGGCCTTGGGCGCCCATTTCGAAGCTTTCCGAGCGGGGCGCGGCCAGCGAAGGCGGCCAAGGATGGGCCGAGGGGGCAAAGATGCAAGGGTACCCTTGGGAAGGTGTCCCATCCTAACTATGCAGGTGGACTGTAGCGCCCGGGTCCTGGGTTGTGGTCAGCGCGGTGCGCCGAAGCGTGGTGGGCCAACACCGTTGGCTTTCGGTGGCAACTCACGGGAGCCTCCCCTACCATCGTGTCGGCTCTTGCGAATCGACGCTGGTCGACGCTAAGTCGACGCTCATCGACGCTACATCGGCGCTCATCGACGCAAGTCGGCGCCATCTCATCGACTCCCATACGCGAATTGACGCTAAAGAAGGAATGAGGATGGCATACCACGCTCCCATGATTTGCTGCCGAAAAAAAAAGCCGCTGGTTCGACACGCGGAGCAAACGTTCCTGACCGCACAGTGCGGGCGCGGCCTCGAGAAACGCTCGAGAGAAACCCGACCCTGAAAGTCTGCGGGCAAGATGCACCGAAGGTTAGGTCGGGCGTGTCCTCCTGCAGGGGTACTTTGGGCGAAAAAATTAAATCGTCAAACATATTTCAAAAATGTCAAAAATAGTCAAACAAATCCTCCCCAGGCTATTGTTTGACTTGTTCTGAATTTTCCTCCTGTAGAAGGACAGGCCCGACTGACACCTAAGGGGAAGCCGGGAGCATCTGGAACGCAGCCCCGTCCTTCACGGCGGCCGCGGGGAAGCCACCGCGCAGCGCACGGAGTGAAGAAACCCAATGCACCCCGACGAGGAGTATCTGGTTCCTTGATGCGCGTCCCCGCTGTAGCACTCGGGTTGTGTTGCTCCCATCGTACTTAAGGAGCATACCCCAGAAATAATTTCGAGCACCCAGACAAGAGTCGAAGCAGTGTCGAACGAGTGTCGCCTCCCACGGTCCGACAGGTGAAGGCCCCCGAGTTTCGGTACTTCCTTGGGGCTCAGCATTATTTCTGGTGATCAGGGCTCAAGTAGGTTGAATCATCACAGCACTCTGGATGCAGAATGCCACGACCGCGCCGAGCTCAACCCCGTCACCGACGGTCGGCGGCGGCTGGCCGCACGAAGCGAGCGCGGGCGGAGGGGGGCGACGGCCAAGCACGTTCTGTTCTCCCTGCTTCCCGCATCCTCGCCGTCGTCGACGTCGCCCTGGCATTAAGTCGGGCCTGTCCCCCTACAGGGGGATTATCGACGAAACATAAAACATACCCCCAAAATACACCGAAAAGGTAAAACAAATACTAAAAAAATAGTCCCCAGACTATTTCCCTACCGAGGCTCTGCCTAGAAGGGTTCTTACTCTGTTTGCATGAAGGGCCGGGCAGCGGAGCACGCCCCGGGCGGTTCCCCCGGCATCCGCCCCACGGTTCCCCCAGTGACGTTCCTTAGCTTAGCGTTGCTTACCTCATCTTGGCTTAGCCTAGCCTAGCTTAGCTTAGCTTTAGCTTAGCTTAGCCTAGCTTAGCTTAGCTTGGCTTGGCTTAGCTGAGCTTAGCCTAGCCTAGCCTAGCCTAGCTTAGCTTAGTGCAGCATTAACATGGCATAGTATAACATAGCCTAGCATAACATAGCGCAGCGTAGCATAGCACATCACTTCATAACATATCATATCATATCATAACGCGGTATAGCATCGCATACCATAACTCAGCTTAGCATAGCACATCGCAACATAGCATAGCATATCATAACACCACATAACACATCATAGCGCAGCATATCATAGCATATCATAGCATAGCGCAGCATATCATAGCATAGTATATCATATCACATCAGAATGCAGCATATCACACAATATCATAGCATTGCGCAACATATAATGCCATAGCATATCATAGCATAGGTGTATATGTACATGTAGATGTAGATGTAGCTGTAGATGTAGATGTGTATATGTAGATGTAGATGTAGATGTAGATGTAGATGTAGATGTAGATGTGAGTCTCGCTGTTGATGCTGATGTAGATGTAGATGCAGGTGTAGTTGTTAATGTAGCTGTCGGTGTAGATGTAGATGTTGCTTTCCTAGATGCTCCAACTCCTCGGTAGGGTCGCACTCGGATAATGTTGGTGCATTTTCTTAACATTGTTCGTCGAACATCCCCCTGTAGGGGGACAGGCCCGACTTAACCCTGGCAAGATCAAGCAACATCGAACCGGGACATCGGACGTGATCGGCATGCACGCCGACTCGGGCCGCACCGGCACGGCATCGGAATCGCATCGGGTCGGCTGCGCCAAGACGCACAGCGGCGCGCCGCGCAGACCAGGGCTGAGCCTAATTAAAAAGGTGTTTTTCGTGTTCGTTCTGTTTTCGTTCCCCTCGTTTCGTCTTCCATCCACCTCCACCGCAAAGCGAAGCCGACACGAGAACGGCCCACGAGATCGCCAAAAAACACCGTTCAGTTCCAACCTCGAGCCGCCACGGATCGTCGGAAGCGTCGGCATCGAAAACGAGCGGGCTGGCCGGCATCTGCCGCAAGAGGCGCGCCAGCCACAGACAGGAGGACGAGGAGGAGGAGGGGGAGGAGGAGGTGGAGGAGAAAGAGGAGGAGGAGGACGGAGGAGGAGGAAGAGGAGGAGGAAGAGGAGGAGGAGGAGGAGGAGGAGGGGAGAGGAGGAGGAGAAGGACAAGGGACAAGGACAAGGAGGAGGAGGAGGAGGAGGAGGAGGAGGAGGAGGAGGAGAGAGGAGGAGGGGAGGAGGAGGAGGAGGAGGAGGAGCAGGAGGAGGAGGAGGAGGCCCGCACGCGCGCCCCTGCTTCGGAGGCGGACGCGCCGGCTCCCCGGAGGGGCCCGGCCGCGCGCCGGCGGTCGATCTCGACTCAGCACCGGCTCGAAGCAGAGCGAATCGGATCGATCGAACCGAGGTGGACCCCGCCTGGTGCCCTCCTCCGCCCTCCTCCGCCTCCTCCGCCTCCTCCTCCTCCTCGTCCTCCCTCCTTTTCCTCCCCTCCTCTCTCCGCCCTCCTCCTCCTCCTCCTCCTCCTCCTCCGCACTCCTCCGCTTCCTCCTCCTCCTATTCCTCCTCCTCCTCCTCCTCCTCCTCCTCCTCCTCCTCCTCCTCCTCCCGACGCCAATAGGCGGCGGGCAAGGGGGGGACGCGAGGAGGCGCGAGGGCTGCTCAGAGGGCTCGGAAGGCCCCCCCGGACCTCCGAGGAGTTCTCTCTCGGCCTTCCCCGAAGAGAGAAACAAACTTCCCAGGAGGGCGCGAGGGCTTCTGAGAGGTCCCGCCGCCTTCTGAGGAGGCCTTCCCCTTCTCACTTCCCCCCCGCGCTCGCCCCCGAGCCAAGGCACCCCCCAAAGCTTCGAGCGCCCTGGCGACCCTAAACAGCGTCGGCGAGCGCCCCTGGCGACCCTGAATAGCGTCGGCGAGCGCCCTGGCTTCTGGCCGTGGAGCACGGCCGCCACGACGCAGAGCAGCTGTGTCCCCGAGGAGAGGCAGGGGCGGAGAGCGCCGGGGCCGCCGAGAGGCAGTCGGGAGAGGCCCTGCTGGACGTCGTGAGGTCTTGCAAAGAGGTCTTGCCAAAGGCGTCTCTGATACCCTCCCGGGGCGTCTCTGAACATCTCTCTGAACATCTTCACACTGTCATCCTTCAAGCTCTGATGCCCTCTTGGACGTCGTGAGGCCTTTCAAAGATGACTACCTACCAGACCACCCCAACCAAACCCGAAGACCGGAAATTCGGGTTGGGGGGGGGCATGGGCTCCATGTGTGTTTTTGTCGATGTTCCTGACCCCCCCCCACTGGAAATGGAGGGCAAATTGAGGCCTTCGGGTTGGCTTCGGATGGTTTGGTGGGTGGTGAAAAGAGGTCTTGCCAAGAGGGGGGAGCATCATCCTTCCATCTCTGATGCCCTCCCAGAACATCATTCTTCCATCTCCGATGCCCTCACAGGGCGCCTCGGAACATCTCTCGTCTGTCTGCCCCCCCCCCCCCCCCTGACTCTGAAATGCTTCGGATGGCGTGGGGTTGACAATGGCACGGCTTCCTCAGACGCCCGACGTTGTGGCTCGCTTCCAAAGATACGGCCAGTCAATGCGAGTGCGGTGCCATGCCGAAAACGATGAGGCGAGGATGGCACGTGAACAACATCTTGATGCGTGCATGCCTGGGTGTCTGGTGATAGTCGTCCGTCGCCGCCATGCCTTCGGAACGTTACGGCGCATTAGAACACAAGAGGGGGGAGGCCCGAACATCATTCTTCCATCTCCGATGCCCTCACAGGGCGCCTCGGAACATCTCTCGTCTGTCTGCCCCCCCCCCCCCCCCTGACTCTGAAATGCTTCGGATGGCGTGGGGTTGACAATGGCACGGCTTCCTCAGACGCCCGACGTTGTGGCTCGCTTCCAAAGATACGGCCAGTCAATGCGAGTGCGGTGCCATGCCGAAAACGATGAGGCGAGGATGGCACGTGAACAACATCTTGATGCGTGCATGCCTGGGTGTCTGGTGATAGTCGTCCGTCGCCGCCATGCCTTCGGAACGTTACGGCGCATTAGAACACATGTGAGCTGCTTGGTAAGGCTTCTGTGATGTTCCAGGCGCGTCCGTTCCTACTCCCCTTGCACGTTTTGCTGCCCAGCGCCCTTCTCGGCTACACGGCGACAGTACGATGGTCAATAGCGTCCCACGGAGACTGCAAGATGCCTCAAGATCAGCCCAAGATTGGCCAACGACACCACGGAGGCGGCAATACGCTCCCAAGAGACTCAAGAGACTCCACGAAACCCAAGGACAGCCCGAGGACCCATTCAGAGATGCTGCGACACCACGTATTATAGCATTCTTGATGGTTTGAATGTTGGTTCGCTTCCGATGCTCATCAACCCAATCTGGCATTAGGGAAGCTTCCGAGAGTCCCAAAGCGGCCCCGTAGGGACACACTGACTCCCTGAGACGGACCGAGGCCGCTCAAAGAAAGCTCAACAAACGCCCCCAGTACTCGCAACAGGCCCTTCAGAAACGGCAAGGGACGCCCGAGACGGCCCCCACAAGCCCCAAAGAGGTGCCGCAGGCGCCCCCAACAGACAACGCAACAACTATGAAGCGTTACGGTTAGGCCACGCTACAACATGGTAGCGATGCTACCCACACGGCCCTGAGGGGCTCGATAGCCCAAGACGGCTCAACATGCCCCCAAATTGCCCCCAATGCTGCCAAATATACCCCCACGAATCGACCAAGAGGGGCCCAAGACGTTGAACAACATCTAATTTCCCAACGGTTGCGCCTGTCGACCGTTTTGCTACCAGGATGTCCCAGACGGTCCCTGGAAGCTCAAAGATAGCACCGCGATTGGTTCAATGCTGCCCAAGACGCCCTCAAGGTGGTCCGAAGAGGCCCAACGACACTCCCGATAATGCCAGCGATGGCCAGACAAGGCCCCGTGACGGCCCAAGCATGGCTCCAATATGCCCCCACGCCTCCCAAGGATGCCCCTTTAGAGGCCCCAAGACGACCTCCACAATCCGTACGGCGGAGGCCAGTCCACAAGAAACCTTCTACAAGAAACCCGACCCTGAGACCACAGTACGTCACTGTTTCCACAGCAAAACTATTGAAACCCAAAACAACCCAGGTGAGCGTTTTTTATTCGGCGTTTCGACATTGGCCGAAAGGGAGGGGAGGGGGGGGTCTGGCTCCGGACCTCTGCTTAGTGCGACTGTTTGCAAGAGTGCTGCCTGCCTCTGGAGGAAACTCCACCCGCTCGAAACAGGCGCCAAAAAACAGCAAAGATCCACTCCCTGGGTGGGGGGGGTGAGGGGGGTGCGAGGGCCCGCGCCGATCGGCAAAACAGCGAATAACAGAAACGATCACCAGGGCACCCGTGAGGCGAGCAGGGTGTTTCTTGGCATGACCCTCCCACTGTAAGTCACGAGACGCATCCACGACTTCACGAGGGCTCAACAACGACCTCCACCATCCGACCTTCCACAAGAAACCCGACCCTGAGACCACAGTAGGTCAACTGATTTTGGCGTGGGAACCTTTCGCTTCCCATCGCAGAACCGTCGAAACCCAAGAAGCCCAGGGCACCCTGGAGGCGAGCAGGGTGCTCCGTGGCATGCCCCCCCCACTGTAATGGAGGATGACGATAGATGAATGACCGGGGGTCGTGTTCACGCGGCGGCGCCCGGGATGACGATTAGAAAAAACTGGCCGCGGGCTGGAAAACTATTTTTTTTGACCGTTCACCTCCAGGCAGAAAACTATGCAGAAACAGCAGAAGACTATTGTTTGAATCGTTCTCTCTCATCTTTTTAAAGAATCGTCATCCCGCAGTAAGTCACGAGGTACGTCCAAGGCGTCACGGGGGCTCGACAGCGCATATTCCCGCGCTGCCCCCATGGATGGCCCCAACTTCTGCCTCCAAAATGGCCCAGTCTGGGGGGCGGCCAGCAGAGTGCGCAGCCCTTCGCAAGCTCATGTGGTTATCTGATCCTAACTAAGTAGAGCATTCATACCTACTGAATTACATTCAGATGTCTACATATATGCAAATACATAAAAACAGATATCGAGAGAGAGAGAGAGAGAGAAACCAAGAGAGAGAGAGAGAAACCAAGAGAGAAAGAAAGAGAGAGAGAGAGAGAGAAAGCGCCAGATAGAGAGAGAGAGAGAGAGAGAGTAGGAGAGGAAGAGAGGGAGAGAGAGGAGGAAGAGAGGGAGAGAGAGGGACAAACAAAACAAACAGAAAAACATACAGACAGAACGAGACGCGTTTCTCCTCCGGGCTGAGGTACACGCACGACGCGGACACCTGCGCTCGCTGCACGGTTACTCGTGCTGGTAGCTGTGCTCATGGCCTGCTTCCTGCTCTCTGCTTCCGCTGGCGGGTAGTGTGGGTGCGATCGGATACCCATGAAGGGAAAGGAAACCAGAGGGTGAGGGAGCTTCTATTACTCCTGAGTACCAACAAGAATCTGAAGATAGGAATGGTGAAACACAGACAAGCATGTGATGGTCACGACCGGCTGGGCAAAATGATATATCGGCCAGCGCGGGCTCCAACTGAGTGTGCCGTAGTGAGTGGTGGTATCACAACTGGTGGCACTGATGCGTGTGATGTCGTGACACACGCACCACCGATGACATGCCCGAGCGACCGTGCCAGCAAACGACACACGATCGAGCTGGCAAGAAACCGCCCGACAACTACATATGCGAACACTAACGCCACGAACCCGCATGCGCAACAATACGCGCGCAACCCGCATCTGCGCAAGCGGCAAACGAGCTCCCTGGTCAAAGTCGGTCCCGCGGGGCGGCAGCCCCGACGGGTGCTGGAGAGCAACCAGAAAGCTCCGGCAAACTGCCCATGCCCCACAAACAATTTGGGCAGGGGCACGAAGGGTGACGGGGGCGCGGCATACACAGTCGACCCGTGTCATACGGATGCACGATCAGGACGCAAGCGCCTTGGAAGGCCGTGTCGACACCTTTCGGGCTCGGCGCGGCCAGCGACAGTGGCCAAGGATGGACCGAGGAGGCAAGGATGCAACGGTACACTCAGGAAAATTGCCCTTCCATATTATGCGGGTTGGCTGCAACGGAGGCGCGGCATACATGGGGGATGGCAAACAACGCTAGGTGATCCCCGGGGCACTTCACTGAAGCGAAATCACCAATGCATGTCCACCGTAATTTTCCGCTAACTTTTCACGTCTCTTTCCTTGGACCAATCTTTCTGTTCCTGTTGTTGCTGCTCCTCCTTCCCTTACCTATGACGGGTGGGGCGGCAGTGCTAGTGCCGGAAGGCGCCCAGAACACAGCAAGACAGGAGTGTGCAAACCCGAGTTGTCTGGCTGGCTGATGCCCTGGGATGGGGCCCTGTGTGTTCAGCGCAGGCTGCAACATTGCTCAACGATGCTGTCCGCCAGAGCTGTGTGCGCTTCAGCCTCGGCTTGGGCAGCACCTGCGGGTGCACTGCGGAACGCCTTCGGGCCAGCTCACACGAGCTGGCTTTCCGCCCGCACGGGTGCCCGCTGTCACCTTTGTCGTCTCTGGCCTCGCCCTGCTCTCCCCGTCGATCCTGAGCTCTTTGCTGCAGCTCCTGCCCCCCCCCCGTCCTTTTTCAGCGGAGGTCAGGCTCTTCGCAGTCCGGCTTTGCACTCCGGCAGGGTTGGAAGCGCCAGCCGTCGCCACCGTCCTGCCGAGGGGGCGGCGGCGGCAGCGGCAGTGCCGAAGCTCGCCCGATGTCCAGCAAAGCGAACGCGAGTTGTCTGGCTGATGCTCTGGGGCGTGGGGGGCGGGGCTTGTGCTCAGAGGAGGCTGCGGCACCACTCAACGATGTGCCGTCAACCAACCATGCAGGGTGGGAAATCGATTTTTGTATCCACCACACATGTGGCTTCGGCTTCAATTGCCAATCTATCGCGAAACGCTCTCGGGCCAACTCGCACGAGCCAGCTTTTCGCTCGCTTGGGTGTCTCCATCGCACTTGTCGTGTCTTGCCTTGCTCTCCCCGTCGGTCTCATCTCCTCTCCCTGCCGCTCCTGCTGCCCCCAAGTCCGGATCAGAGAATATCGACATCCTCGCAGTCTGGTATTGCACGCCGCCAGGCGTGGCATGGGTGCGTCGGCCATCGCCGCTGTCCTTGTCGCCGTCGCTTGATGGGGTGGCGGCGGCCGAAACGCGCCCAGAGTCTGGCAAAGCATGAGGGTGCAAGCCCGACTTGCCTGGCTGATGCTCAGGGGGGAGGGGGCTGTGCATAGGGGGGGCTGCAGCACTGCTCCACGATGAATTGTGGACCGAACCTGCAGGGTGAGCCTTCCGTTTTTCTGTGCACCTCAACTTCGGCTTCGGCTTCAGCTGCGGGTGCACCGCGAAATGCCCTCGGGCCAAATCGACCGAGTCGGCTTCCCGCTTGCACGGGCGCCTCCCTCCCCCCACACCTCCACCACCTCCAGATCCCCCAGATCCCCCAGGTCCCCCAGATCCCCCACCTCCTCATGCTGCTCCTCCTCCATTCCCTTTCCTTGTAAAAAACTCCTCCCTGTCGCACTTCGAGGCCGGTCGAGAGGGCGGGCCGGGCATTTGGCGTGAGGCCTCCTCACCACTTATGACCATGATGCTTAAAAACTGATACAAGTTTGACAGATGAAGGGCGGATCGCTTCCAAAATGCTGCTCTCGCCTGAGCACTGCGCACATTCGTCATTCAAATTTGCAAGACTTTCACGGATTGAGGGCGGCTCTTTAACATGTGGCTCTCGCATCAGCGCCACGCACATTCGCTCTGAACATGTGCAAAGAGGTTTTCGGATTGTGGGCAACTCGTCTCCAAAATTGGGCTCCCGCCTGAGCGCCGCGCACATGGGCTTTCAACATTTGTAAAAGTTTCACTGATCCTCATTATTGAAATACCAGAAGTTATGGTTTGAAGCGGTTCAGGATTGTCATGGCGTAACAGTTATTTCGCTGTGTTGAAGTCCCAGGAACGGCACGCTGGCACAATCCGGGATCACCTAGTCAGAGCAATCAGGTTTACTCGTGGCGTTGGAAATATGGGAGTGGCGTTTGGACGCGCTTCAAGATGTTCACACGTTTGTCCCCCAACGGGGCACTTCCCTGTGGAAGTGACTGTGAGGAGGGATCTTGGAGGGAGGGTGTATTTCAATATCGTTGATGAGTCTCGGGTTTGTACTGGATCCCCTACTCCTCCCCATCGTCCTCATCATCATCACCATCATCATCAACATCACCATGACCGTCACCATAATAATCAGCATCATCATCACCATCAGCACAATCATCAACATCATGGTCAGCATCAGCATCATCATCAACATCATCGCTAGCATCATCACTAGATAACCATAATCACCACTACCCGCTTACACATCAGCATCATAATCCGCATCCGCATCATCATCATCATCGTCATCATCATCCCCACCGCTATCGCAGCACTATCATCATCATCATCATCATCATCATCATCATCATCATCATCATCATCATCATCACAATCATCAGTATCGTCGTCGTCGCCATCATCAGCATCAGCATCAGCATTATCACTATTGCCATCATCGTCATCATCAACATGATACTCAGCACCAGCAGAATCATCACCGCCTTCACAATGACCGTACGTATCATCAATACCAGCGTCAACATCCGCATCAGGATCAGCATCCGCACCAGCGTCATCATCAGTAGCAGCATCACCATCACCACGATCGCCATCGCCATCATCATCATCATCATCACCATCACCATCAGCATCAGCATCAGCATCAGCATCAGCATCAGCAGCATCCTCATCAGCATCATGACCATCGTCATCGTCATCGCCATCGACATCATCATCATCATCATCATCATCATCATCATCATCATCATCAACATCATCATCATCATCACCAGCATCGTCTTCGTTATCGTTATCGTTATTGTCATCGTCATCGCCATCATCATCCTCATCATCATCCTCATCCTCATCCTCATCCTCATCCTCATCCTCATCCTCATCCTCATCATCATCATCATCATCATCATCACAATCATCATCACCATCATCACCATCATCGACTCCCACCACCTCTGCTCAGCCCCCCTGCCCACGTTTGGATGCATGCTTCGATGCCTGCCCCGTGCGCGCATCGGTCCCGTTTTCAATATAGCCTGTCACCCTGCCCCTGGCAGGACCACGAAAGAACTGGAGGAAGTCCCTTCAAGGGAGTCCCTTCTCCTCCTCTTCCTCCCACTCCTCCTCCTCCTCCTTCTTCTCCTCCTCCCCCTCCATCTTCATCCTTACTTTCTACTCATCCTCCTGACTCCACCTCCTCCTCTCCCTGTTCTTCCTGCTCCTCCTGCTCTCCTGCTGCTCCTCCTCCTCCCTCTTGCTTTAGAACTTCAGAGACCCTTCTGACCTCCGAATATCTTCATCCCGGACCTCCCCTGTTGAACTTGGGGCAACCCCGGCAGCAAGGTCTTCTCGTGGGGGCTCTCCGCGCGAGAGGGTCTAATCTCCTTCTCATTTCTCCTCCTCCTCCTCCTTTTTCTTCATTGAGGTCCCTCCTCCTCCTCCTCCTCGTCACCCTCCCCCTCCCCCCCTCCTCCCACCCCCCCGCGGAGGGCGCGTTGGAGAACGTGGACAGCAGCCCGTGGCAGCCCCGGGCCATCAGCATCGCCTCCGCAGCGCAGGCGGCGCCCCCCGCTCCCGTCGGGGCCGGGGGGGCTCCGCGCGGCGTTCTGGGCTCTGGAGGGCCATGCGGGGAGAAGGGAGGGGGAGGGCAAGCTGGGTGCGCTCGCGCCACATCTGATGTCCCTTGCCCACTGGAGGAGGAGGAGGAGGAGGAGGAGGAGGAGGAGGAGGAGGAGGAGGAGGAGGAGGAGGAGAACTGGAGGAGGAGGAGGAGGAGGAGCAAAACCCCAAAAACCCTTCCACCCATCCCTCCCCCATTGCGCTGAAGTTTCTCTATCCAGAGGCCCCCCAAGAGAGCCCCGGAGGCCCCCCGAAGGCCCCACGAGGGGCCCGAAGAGGCCCAAAAACATTCCCCAAGAGGCCTCCAATCAGCCCCCAAGAGGCCGCCAGAGGCCTCGAACGCGCAAGCAGACGCCCTGCGATCGTACAGCATGGGCCGTCGGAGTGAGCGAAGCGATTCACCAACGATATCCCTGTCATCGGTCACACTATCTAGCATCGGTCCAACAATCCACAAAGCAATCGGTTTCACTGTAGATCGGTCTCAATGACTTTCCAATCATAGGCCTCACTGGCACGACATGTATCAATGCCGCTGTCTATATATATATATATATAGATATATTCCCCATGATTGCCTCACCATCGGCTCGATACCCACATAACGAATAACATTCATAACAATTGTGTAAAGTAGTTCCCAACTAATCCAAGGATGGCCTACTAATAAACCTCCAAGACAACCTGACAAACTTGTGCATGATATATCCACGTAGCTGCAACATCCTCTCTCGGACGCTACCCGTGTGCCAACGACTGGAATCCTGTATGTGGTTTACTTGTGTTCGCATTCTAACCTTTTGGGGTTAAGATGCGTCTCCCAGGCGTAGGTGGTCTCGTAAGTGACTCCAGCTACCTTGATGATGACAAGTTGGCAATAGCCACCTGTATAGCCCAACATATGGGCATCAGCTACCGAAGGAACCAGCATGGACGAGTACTCCTCCCCGATGCCTGCCATGCTCATCATTGTCATCTCTCCTGCTCCACCGCCGAGAAAAGAGGCGCCTCGATCATGACATCTTCAGCCTTCTTGTAGGCATCGATGTTGGAATCGAAATGGACCTGGCTGCTGGACGTGAGACGTGCTTGTGCGAACGATGCCACACACACACACGTCAACGGGCGTGTGTTGGGATGTGCTGTCTTGAGGTGAACTGTGCTATGGTGTGCTGTGGTGTGCTGTGCTGGCCACGTGCCGCGCTGTGCCGCTGTGCCCGCGGCCGCTCGCTGCGGAAACGCAGCCGCTTTCATCCCGGATCGCTGCCGTACCTCCTCCGGGTAGTGTAAGGTCGGGCATGTCCCCCTACAGGCGGACTGTGGAGGAAACATTGAACATGCCTCTAAAAACATTCCCCAAACATGCACCAACAACACAATTTTCGAGTACTCCTCCTGTGCAGGGACAGGCCCGACTGAAGGGTAGTGTAATGGCATGTGTTTTTTCGCGGCTCTCTCTGAGGATCTTGTGGGATGGCGATGGTGCTGTGGCGGGCCTCCCGGGAGCCCGCCGCCTGTCGTGGTGCTCGGAGGCGGTCGCCCGTGGCCAGTGCCGGGCTGCATGCTCGTGTGTGGGAAAGGAGAAAGAGCGGCATGAAAAGGTAAAATGGTGGCGCTCCGCGCGGAATCCTTGGGCCTGCACTGGACTCCCCTCCTTGGCGGCGCCAGGGGCGGCGCCAGAGGCGCCGCCAGGCTGGGCCCCAGCGCGGATCCAAGGAATCCGTGCGGAGCGCCAGCAAGTCTCTGTTCATGCCGTTTTGACTACCTACCAGACCACCCCAACCCAACCCGAAGACCCCAATTTCGGGTTGGGGGGGGGGTACGGGTTCCATATTTGTTTTTTCAATGTTCCCCGCCCCCCCCCAACTGAAAATGAAGGGCAAATTGAGGCCTTCGGGTTGGGTTGGGGTGGTTTGGTGGGTGGTGAGTTTTGCTGCTCTTCGAGTAGGATGGTGGGCTTGCTGTGCGCAGACTGCTCGCCAGGGTCGCCGCAGATTCGGCGCTGGGAGCACGTGCGGTTGCCCCTGCCGGTGGCCAGCTGCGCCGTGGGCGGCCTCGCCCATCGGGCACGCCGTCGTGCTGCCCGCCGGGCGGGCGGAACGGGGCCTCGGTCGACGAGCGTCCCTGCTCCCTCCTCCCTCAGCCTTCCCCCCTCCCCCCACCTTCCTCCCTCTCCCCTCTCCCCCCTCCCTCCTCTCTCCTCCCTCCTCCCTCTCTCCTCCCTCTCCCCCCCATCCTTCCCGCCCCTCCGTCGTTGTTGCTCCTCGCCCCTCCTGCTCGAGGTCATTCGCGCTGTCACCGGGGCCTCGCCCAGAAGCGATACCGCGTCGGTGAATTGCGGCTCATCCCAGCTTCCCCGTTCAGGCGCGATGGGAGGAGGATCGGGATCGGGATCGGGCTCGTGGAGTTCGCTTGTCTGCTCGGCTCTAGCGGCGTGAAACCTGGGACCCTCGCAACGCTCAGAACTCTGAGTGGCGTTACATAGAACGACAACCTTCCTGGCGGCCTCTGCACTCGGGCAAAGCCGCACTGCCCCATCAGGGGCAACCCTCCGATATGGCACGCAGCGAGAGGGCGCCCCCTGGGGACTGAGGCGCACAGTCCCCCCACCCTCGCCCCCGCCGCCAGTATACGGAGCCCACAGGGCCAGGACCGCACACTGGCACGAGGGAGGGGGTAATGGGGCCGTCTGCCTCAGGGGAGCGGGGGTCCGTCTGAAGGGCTAGGGAAAACCGCGTCCTGGAATAAAAGATTGCCCCTGCCTGCTCTGCCTCGGCCTCTCCTCCCTCCTCCTCGCCCTCGTCCTCTCGAAGCGGACCTTAAAAGAACTGTAGGGACGGGCGGGAGGGTCGGGCCGTAGGCCGTTGGAAAAGGTGGCGGGGTGGGCGCAGTCCTATGTTGGAGCACATCAAGCGGTATGTCGCCGCGAGGAGGAGGAGAAGGAGGAGGAAGAGGAGACACGCTCTCTCACCCACCCGCGCCCCCACACGCCCTGTAGAGCGTGGGTGTGGTGTCGTGCGGGGCGGTGCGCCCGTGTCACGTCCCCCGCGTCACGTCCCCGACCACCTTCCACGCCACCGCGGGCAACGCACCACGGCAACATGCACGCACGCCTGCCTGGCGGAGCCGTGGGAGCTGCTTCGACGCGCGTCTTCGGCAGCGGTCGGTGCGACCAGGGCTTCGGAGGGGCTGGTCCTTGACGGATGGGGCTTTGTAGCAGCGCGCGTTCGGGTGCGTGTCGGTGTTGGGTGGCTGTGCAACGGACCGTGCCCCACCCACGTACCGCCCCCTCGGCCACCGCCGCCGGCATTGCTTGCGTGGCGCGTGGCTGACTCGAGTTGGTGTGTGGATACGGTGTTCCCGCTTACACCGAACGAACGAACCAACGAACGAACGAACGAACGAACGAACGAACGAACGAACGAACGAACGAACGAACGAACGAACACACACACACACACGCACGCACGCACGCACGCACGCACGCACGCACGCACGCACGCACGCACGCACGCACGCACGCACGCACGCACGCACGCACGCACGCACGCACGCACGCACGCACGCACGCACGCACGCACGCACGCACGCACGCACGCACGCACGCACACGCACCCACGCACCCACGCACACACGCACCCACGCACCCACACACCCACACACCCACACACCCACACACCCACACACCCACACACCCACACCCACACACCCACACACCCACACACCCACACACCCACACACCCACACACCCACACACCCACACACCCACACACCCACACACCCACACACCCACACACCCACACACCCACACACACACACACACACACACACGCTCGCGAGCGGCATAGGCGATTCGCTGCCGACTTACCAACTTGTTCATTGACGAAGACTTCACTGAGCTGAGTTGTCTGTGCCTGCAACCTGACTGGCTGGGATGTCAGAAATACCAACATCATTGGCCACTCATACAAGCGGTCGGACGCGATGACCCAGAGATGACTAGACGAAAACATAATCGTTCAACCCACAACACTGACGCAACACCTGTATCCTCTACGACCTTCGTAGGCCTTGTGCTGATCCCACGGTGGAATGGCCAATGCAACTTACTTTCTTGCTTGCTTGATGGGTGGAGCAAAAAGAAACACGCCACGAGAACGCCGTGGCCCGAGGTGCCCAACGGCCCGGTTGCCTTGGGCACCTCGAGGCATGGGGTTCCACAAGTTCGCATCGCCCCATGAGCTGTTCCTGCACTGCGAGAGCTCTGGGCTTCGGGGCCTCCCGATGCTCCCGGGGCAATGATTGCTGTGGGGCCCCTCGCTCTCGCCAACACGATCAGAGCCCTGGCGGCCCGCATGCCTCCCCAGAAGCAGATAATTGTGAAATCCCTCATGGCTGTGCGATGTGGGGCAGTGACGTTCTAACAAGATTGCTGTGGCCCGTGCGTTCCTTGCCCCTGGCCCTGTAAGTCGTCGGATCACCTTTTGCCCTTGATTGTTTCTGGTATCGGCAACCATGCAAATACCTGTGACGGCTTTTTGTTTACGTGATCCGTCGTTGCACGTGCGCCTTCGTCTGTGTCGGCGTGGCTCCTGGCACATCGCGGCCCCGGGTGATAATGTACACTGGATGGCGGCGCCACGGCCCTTGGAAAACCATGAGCCCATGATTGCCTGCTGCCCCGTGCCCTGTGGCCTTGTAGCTCATGGTGCGTCCTGGCCAGGGCTTATGCTGCTCCCACCGTACTTACGGACCATATCCCCCCAACAAAATCGAGCAGCCGGAAAAGTGACGAAAGAGTGTCGAAACAGTGTCGGACGAGTGTCTCCCAGGGCCCGACACGTGAACACCCTCGAGCTTCGGTGCTTTCTTCGGGTGCTGGTGATCAAGGCTAAAGTAGGCTGGAACATCATAAGCCAGAGCACAAACTCGCTGTGGCCTGTGGGCCAGAGCACAACATCGCCGTGGCCCGTGGTGGAACGCGGTCTCGTCGCTCGTGGCTGCACGGCGCCCGCGCCCCGCAGCCCGGCGGCCCAGCCATGGTGCCTTTCCTGGCTTGTTCTGTCGACCGCCGAAGCCTGACAATTGCTGTTGCCACTGGCCTCAAGTCGGGCATGTACCCCCTACAGGCGGACTCTGGGAGATGAAGGAAACGTGCGCCAAACATAATCGAAACTAGGAAGACAAGGCAGAACAACATCGCCCCTGGACTATTTTTTAAAACAATTTGGAATTTCCCTCCTGTAGAGGGACACGCCCGACTTAACACTGGCCTGTGTAGTCTCCAGGAAGACAAACGAACCTAATGCACACTCTCGGGTTGACTACATACTCAACGTCGCTCTGCACGAACTTTGCCGTACCACTCAACTAACCTCGGTGCTCGAGGGCCGACACACGGGAATCCCCTCTGGCCTCAAGGACCTGCACACTGCAGGAGAAACGGGTGTCACCTGGCACGTTCGCCAATCGTGGTCTTGAACCAGCGGGCCACAAACACCACGGAGACGAACGGATGGTTGGGAGAGTGGGGCGGAGGGCAATGGGGGGAACGGAAGGGGAGACAATGAAGGAGTTGTCGACCCGCAGTGGTCAGGACTCCTGATGCAAAGGCAAGGGCGGATCGACAGACGAAGTGGCCACATCTGCAACCACGGGTGAGCGCATTGCAAACTGTGCTTGTCGGGATCTCGAACAAAGCCCGCCAAATAACGATGTGATTTACGATCCTCAAGGGCACTCTGTCTTACTTGTTCTTCACCGATGCCAATCAGCAATATAAGCCATGCGCGATGACCGCTTGCCCAGACTTGGAAGACAACGCTGATGGGTACGAGCTGACGGTGAGGCCGGCACCTGCGCTGGCTTGTGGCCACCACAAAATGCAAGATATGAGAACTGGCTGCTGGGCAGACGCGCCCTGTGTACTGCATGGCGCGAGACATGCACAGCGAGATCTCCGCTTGCGTGCATACCTATGCCGAACATGGCCATGTCGAACACGCAATAGAAGCATGACGCGGTGCGAACACAGTGTGGACGGACGCAGGAGCCACTCACGATATCAACCACATTCGCGATTCAACAACAGAGCAAATACGACATCATCAATGCCATCTAGCGAACATTGCCATGTTCAATAGTTAAGCTCCAGAACCGTGGCCTCCACACGTCGGGGCGTGACAGAAATCCTGCGAACTACCTTGCCACGCACCCGTGGTTTTTGAGGGTGCCCGCCATTTGGTACAGCGAAGCCGAAAGCGACGCTGCACATCGAGCCGCTGCATCTGGAGGCAGCCGCACAACGCTTTGCCGCAGGCAACTGGGTGCAAGAAAACATGAGTTTCAGTTTTGTGCCGGAGATCAGCGGCCTGCTGGCCTGGATGCCCCCACCTGTCGGGTCGGGCGAAAGGGGGGGATAGCAAAGGGGGGGTTTGAGAATCAGCTCACGTAGCTGATTTTCCCGGCGCCTCCCGGCGCCTCAGGCGGCTATGTATCGAGGAGTGGACCCCTCGGTGCGGCCGAAACCAGCTGCATGCAGCAAATTTCGCACCCCCCCTTTCCAAATCCCCCCCTTTCGTCCGGCCCGAACCTGGCGCATGGCGTTCTCATCCACTGCAAAGGCCCAGAGGCCTCGAATGCACCCCTCCAGCATCGTGGCAAGCCCTGCCCCCGCCCTGCTGCCCTCCCCGAACCTCTGCCGCGAGGGGCCCGTCGACCAGGAAAGCTCAGATAGCGATCCACTGCGAGCTGGGGGCTTGTCCATCACCGCTGCCTGGGAGACTGTGATCCTCGGGGGCCTCGGCAAGCGGTGGGTGTGCATATACTTGGTCCCTCCAGGGCCCGACTCTGTCTATCCAGATCCACCGCCTGCTGTGGTCCCCGAATTCGGTGGCAACTCATGGGAGCCTCCCATGCTATTTTGTCGGCTCTTGCGAATCGACGCTAAATCGACGCTGCGTCGAAGCAACATCGACGCGAGCCGACGCTAACTCGGCGCTATCGCATCAACTCCCCGACGCGGATCGACGCTGGCCGACGCTGAAGTCGAAATGAAGAGGCT